AATGCCATAGACATATGGCCAGCCGGGGGCCATTTAGGGTGCTGCCGCTGCTGCTGCCATTGCCGCCGCCGATCCGTTGCAGCTGCTCCTGTTCCACTTCAATATCAATATATATTGGCGGGCGATCAATTTGATTGAACGACATTGCCGATAAGCATCAAATTTCTTTCTTGATGATGACGACGACGACGACGACGACAAAGCAACGCCTATTGTCGTACTTGTACTTCTAAGCTGCAAAACTTGTTGCCTATGAAACCGAGCCGATTCATGAATAAGCCCTGGACGACCACAAAGGCGGCCTGCTAGTGGGTGACAGTGTTTTTTTGTTTTTATTTGTTTTTTGTGTTGTATTTTTTTTTTTGTGGTCGCCGGCTTCCGTGTGCATTTGCGGCTTTTAATTAAATGTCAATCAATATATAGTCATCTGGGCTTATGTATGTATGCACGGCCTCTTAGTTTTTGATTTGTGCGCTTTATTAACTTGATGTGGCGTCGTCGTCGACTCGTTGGCGACTTGCTGTCATTTCTGTAAGCCATGCAGGGCAGGGGCTAGCTCTATTGGACTTACTCGTATGCTGCGTGGGCGCTGACTGACAGTCTTCAGCAGATATACAAGTATAGGAATATACTCTGCTATGCCTATGTCTTTGTTGGCATTAAAAAGTATTTAAAAAAATTTTGACTGAGGATTAAGTGTTTAGTGAGCACTTTGAAGGTGCCTGTGCGTTGTTATGGCTGTGGTTTGTTCTGAATGTTCCCATGGCCGTTGACATCCGTATATCATAGTCGCACAGGTAAGGCTTTTCAATGAGAACTCGGCTTATCTGTGGGCATTACACATGAGTGAAGTTCTTTGGAAGTTAGAGATCCCTTGTCGCCGATCAGATGAGCTCTTTGATACAGTTGCCACTGAAGAGTCAAATGGCATTGTTATGGGGATTCTCAGCATTTGCCCCGACATTATAGAATGCTGCTTTGCTTCTGGATTTTAATAGAAATCGGCTGGATGTTATCGAATGACTAGACTAAACAGCACATCTGGGTGGTTTACTTTATTTTTATTTATTTGTTATAAATACATAAAACTATAAATTGATTCTCAACTCTATGACTTTAAGTTAGAAAAGTGAAAAACTAAACTGAAACCATAACTGAAACCATAATAACCAATTCAAATGTTTTGTAATACTCGAATGTCCCACTACTTTTTAATGTCAGTCACCATTTGTTTACACAAAGATATTAGTTGCATAATACTTGTATAATGCATAAATTAATTGCATGGAAAGAACTAGAAAATTGAACAAGTTCAATTCAAAAGCTGTTCTTTAGTCGATTGCGTTACACATCTACTAAGTGTAGCTCTGTTCAGTTGCTAAATGAGTTGCCTTTTTCCACCCACCAAACAGCACTGGCCTGCTAAGTGAACCCATAAACCTCGTCAAATGTGTGGCACATAAAAGTACAAAATTAAAGAAAAAGAAACCAAACAACTAAGCTACTTGAAAATGCTTTCAAAGCCAAGTACCAGGAGGATGGTCAGTCGAGTCCTCATGCTGTAATTCTGGCTGGATTGCGCCCATAAATGGCACATTCTCTGCAATACTGACTCAGTGACATTGTAGCGAACTAAAACTGGCCGGGACTGGGACTGGCTCGGCTAACTGGCAAGTACAAGAAAAACCAACTGCCTCTATAAATCCATAACTGTCACTCAACTTTTGAACCAGTATCGAATGCAACTTGTGCGTCTATTGGCTGTCTCGGCCTCATCGTGTGTTGTGTCGCCTCTTTAGGCCATAACGACATTGCTTTTGGCCAGCACCGTTACCACATTCCTTGCACACCTTTAGGCCAAGCAGCAGCCAAGCTAGTCTCCACATATCTCGTGTGTTTATTTAACCATGAAAATTGTGTAATGCTACTTTCTATTGGATTTGTTTGTAGTTTCTGTCAATTTATAACACTTCTCAACGTACTCGCATGTACATCTGATGAGCCAAATGGTATTTGCAACTGTATTAGGCAGCTAGTGCCTGTGCCAGCATTTTTTATGAGCAATCAATGCTTACTTATAGTTTTTCCACAACTGATTTGAAGCTCGTAAAGTTTGTGTATTAGACCAAATTTATTAGTGGTGGGAGAGATAGGCTTCTGGCTGCTGTTTATATCTTCAAGATCCAAATTCTAGATAACAAATAACAAGAATTGACTGACAGTAGCATGGCCGTTAAAGAGCTCTGGCATCTATCTCTGGCATCAGGTAATGGAGCAGTGAGATAAGCAGTTGATTTTATGGCCTGATAGAACGCAGCCGATCCGTTGAAAGACAAGCTATAAATCGAAAATGTCCGAATTAGGCTGCATAGCAATTATTTGAAGAGGCCAGTGTGTATATAGACGCATGTATATTGAATATTTGAACGAAGCGGTGAGAGAGCTTGTCTAATTGGCAAATAAATATTCCTCTCACTAGTTCAGCTATTCTGCAATACTTGTGTTTTACTTGTCTCTTTTAATGAATTATTTAAGCTTATTACTTTTATTTTATTTTCATGAGTGGCGAAGAAAGGGTTTAATCATCCGTCTATCCGAGCTAGGTTAGCTAATCCTGGGGGTCGCCTGATGCCCAGGATGCTCCGTTTCAGGCTTTTAGGGCTATTTAGAGGGCGGATAGGGCAGAACCTTGATCCAGTTAATGAAATATTAAAATTAGTATGTTCATTGGTTTTTAAAGGATTCAAACTTGCTTATCTAAATATTTTCGCGCTAAAACTATTCGCCATTCAAAGTCTCGTTGAATCTGCAAAAGTACCAAAGTATGTTCCGAGTGATTTTTTATGCCATGGTATATTTATGAATAATTTATGTGGCTGTGCTGATGTCATTCGATATTGTCTTTTGAGACCGATGAAAAATTCTCCACTGATGATACCGTAACCATCCCTGTAGTCGTTCTGAGTTCAGAAAAAATTTAACGTTGCCGTTGTTTCTGCGTTGGATTGCAGTCCAACCTGATTTCAGCCACATAAAAATGTTTAAAACCGGGAAGATGAATACCTCTCAGTCTCGTTATTTAAATGGAGGAAGTATAACCTACTAGTATCCTAGCTTTCTTGCGTTTGTTCTGCTGTTCAATAGTTAAAATATTAATTCTGCTATTGTGATGCAGAACGTCAAACGTTTCCAGCTTGGATATGATTGTATTTCTTTGTCTTGTTGCTGACTGTGCGAATATGGCTTTCACATGTCTTTCCCTTGCTATTAACAATTAAAAAATTACAGTTAATGATCACAAACACTTAAAACACTTCTTTCCCGGTTTTAAAGAAATTTTCCTCTAATATTTATTAAAAAGTTAGTTTTGTAGACAATTTCCAATGAAATGTTTCAATTACAACCGTTGTTATTTGTTGATCGTTGGAAATGTACACAAATTATTTTTAAGCGTCAGGCACACAGGAAACTTATTGTTGATTTTCGTCGGGTCAGTCGGCAAATAAAGTTCCAACACTCAAAGGTTCATTGCACGCAAAAAAAAAAAGAAAACTTCACATGCGCAGCTGTAAAAGCACAAAATTCTTAACAAAGACGAATGAGAGAAAAATATTTATTTGGCTAACACTCGAAAGTCAACTCAAAAAAGAATGATTGCAAAAATCCAACATAAATCTGTGCAGCATTAGCAATAAAAAGCGGCAGTGGCAGCGGCAGCAGCAACAACACCATTTGGAAGGGAAAAACTTAAGCTACAAATGCTTTATTACACCGAAAAAGTATGACGACGCCCACACACCGGCAACAACAATAGGCAGCAGACAGATGAAAGACGTGACACAGGCACAGATAAATGCAGTATACATAAGTCCATTCATATGTGAGCATACTATATATTAGAGGTGTGTATGGTAGTGGTTTTGGTTGCGCACACAAATCTATTCATAGTAGATAGGCGTGTTATTAGAGGTGTGCATGGGTCGTGATGCTATTTCAAATTTTAAATCTTTTACGGCGTTTTTAAATGATAAACACGTTTTAAATTTTAGAAAAATTTCTATTTTTGGCTAATTGATTTAACCTTATTTGCGATAAGGGAGGTTCCTAAATTCTGCTTTAAAAGTAAACGTAAAAATAAATATTAAATTCAAACTTCACTTTTTTGTAAAATGTTATTCAAATTTTAGAAAGAATTAGTATAGCATCAGTTAATGTTTCAGTTAAGTACTCAGTAAGTGCTGGATAAGTATTCAGTTGATTGTTTATTATTATTAACTCTTAGTAGCGGGATAAAATGAAATAAACTCATTGCAAGTCCTATTCACGTGATTAGGTGCATAATTGTAATACTGTTCTTATAATTATTTTCGTTATAAAATTTGTTTAGTCTTTATATTCTTGTGTGTTTGAGGATATATCATGGAAAAAAACCGATATTTATAATTTACTTTACGCATTTCGAGTCAAAATTCTTAAAAAGACCAATAACTTTATTATCTTTGTAAATACTTCAAAATATATGATTTTTCTGAGGAGATAGTAGTCAGAAGGGAATTCAATTTATTTGAGAGCTGACATCATCGTTTAGGAAAGTTTTTCCATGCCCCTCTCTAATATAAATATATACATTTAAATGTACATATGTACGAACCACATAAACCATACTAAATATATTAACACACATAGGTGTTGGCAGCCAACAACTTCCGGCGCAAGCATAAAAATTTGTACAAAAATATTTAAGAAAAATGTTGTGCGTTAAATGCGTGTAAGATATTTGAAAAATGTTTAAAACATTTTCAGCTTTTTTATAACAATTTAATTCGAATTTTATTTATTATTTTGATGGCATTTTATGACTTTGTCGGCCTCAAAAAATTGTATTGATTTTATTTTATTTTGCTTTTTCTTTGCATTTTATGGATTTTATTTTTGAAACGAAAATAAACAACCACCGACTGTGCCGCATCGTCTTACAATTTTATTTATTTATATTGCAGTTGGACGCAGAGCAGATAACAGCAACAAAAACACAACAACAACAACAACAATACCAGCAGAAGCAGCAGCAACAACAACAACAACAACAAGTGGCAACTGACGGACGATGAATTGGACGCGCGTGTTGTTAATCGGCCTCGCCACATTGGCGCTGACATTTGTGGAAGTTGCATCACTCTCACTGGATCCAGGTAGGTGCACACAAACACAAGCACACACACACACACACATATATGCATATACATGTGTATATATATGTTTACCGTTGCTTTACAAGGCAAACACACGATGCAGCAACAGCAGCAGAGCGCATGAAATATTTATGTCAATATTTGCCGATTGGAAACGACAAGTGAGCGAGCAGTACGCCGAAAATCAAAAGCAAATATGTACTACATACCATGTAGTATGTAGTAAATGCATATACATAATCACATAGCCAATAATTTATGTAAATCCCATGCTGCGTTTGCTTGTCAGTCTTTAGACGCTTGTGGGTCGCCTGTAGGGCGCCCAACAGTGGTCCCAAAAACCAGAGATGTTCTATATTTTAGGCATATTATGGCGATGCTTTGGTTTAAACTATGTTGACATGACTCTGGATAGTCATGGTCGTCGGTCTGTTCGCCTGTTTGGCTGTATGAACATCCATAACTCTTGAAGTATAACAGCTACGCACACCAAACTTGCCTACATGGTTATGCCTACTTGTGTTATCTGTGCAGAGGTCAAGTTTATTATAAAACATAAATAACTTTATTCATTTATAGAGCAACCAAATAATGTTTAAGAACTACTTCTTAAACCATCTTTTATCTTTTATATTTTTCAAATAGACTTGGAAAATAAAATCCAGCAAAAAAAATTATGTCCCAGAAAACAATATTAATTAAATTAAATTTTTCTTCTTAAAATAGAAATATAATAGAAATTGTAATTTTTAAAAGCTATTGGTTGTGTAAATGAGTATTGTCTCAGTAAAATTTGGAAGCTAAAAAATCCTCAGAAGTTTCCTTAGTTTTTTCAAATGTTTTCGTTCCAACATTGACAATTAGAATGCCACAATTTTTTTGTCTGTTTATGTTTCTTTATTGTTGTCGCCCCAACTACAGGAATAGCTCTACAATTACGAGTAACAAATGAAGAACTTCGAACTTAAACACTGACAGAAGTACAAACTTTTTGTTTTCAGTACGCTATTTTGAATATAAAATAATCTGGAACAGTTTTCGGCTTGATGGCGTCTCTAACATACGAGAGTATGTATATCCATTCCAAATACATAATAAGCGTTCAATTATATTATAACCCCAACCAAAGAAATGGTTTTAAAAATTAGAGTCAAATGCTGTTTGTCTTGAGATTTGTGGTCTTATTTTGCGTTGTTCATCTTCATAAAATATGTAGTTAAACGAATAAGAAGTCTAGGGAAATAGTTTCTGAAATATTAAATCAAACTTTAGATGGTCAGAAGAATAGTTGAAGCTAGTTGAAGTTCATGCCACTTTAATCCGAAAAAAATCTCTCTCTCGCTCTCAATTCGATCCTAATGCTTGCTACACCGTGGACACAAAACACAAAGGAGCTCATTGAACTTGCCATATAGTATCCACTGGAGAGGAAAGTATTAAAACTTTTGGAGCCACTCAATACGATCCAGTTTCTTGATTGCGGCGACTAAGCACATGATTCCAATTTTCACATTATTCCAATTTTCCAGAGGGTGCAGAAGCTTAATGATGTCAATAGACTGTACCAACCAGTAAAGCAGAATTGTTGAGGCACAACAGCGTTAGTTGTTATATTTATTAGTTTGCGCGAAAAATTGATTTTGGCCCCACTGTACGCCCCTTGCAGTTGTCATATATTGCCAATGTTGACCTTAGGCCATAGATGGCGTCAGTGTGCTGATCACGTTTGCCAAGCTGGCCAAGTTGCAAAGTAGTGGCCAGGCTGCAATGTTGCTGCCACACGGTGTGTGTGTCGTGAAGGTCGGGCAGTTCGCCCCAAGCTCGGCACTTCGCATGCGCGCCTGTCAACATTTTCAGCTTCAATGACAAATAACAGCACAAATGCGTGAAATTCAACATATAGTCGTTGCCGTAGTCGTCGCCCGTCCATAGGTTTGATAAATTATTCTATCCAGTTGACAGCCACTCGCTGACTTATTTGGTTTGCAGCGATTGTGCAAATAGAAACATTGTAGATATTTAGGTTAACATGTTGCGGGATTAGGTTGCACGCCGGCTGACCAAAATAAACAGATACAGAGACCACGACATGGGCACTTGCTAGGTTTCGTAATCTCGACCAATAGGCGCTAAATTTGACCACCAAATGTTCAAATTGTGAACAAATAGAGCAAGTGTCGAGCTGAGGATCAGTAAACATGGCATGGTGTTGTTTGGACTTAGGCTCTGTCCATTTGTTTTGTGGGTTTGATAATCAATATGAGCATGTAATGGAGGGATCCGGAGACTGATCGATTGCAAAGAACGGAAGTGGTTGGTGGTGTCTTAACAGAAGCAAAGGTCTGAGGGCGAGCAAAGAATTTGAAAACAATTGGACCGCTAGGAGTAACTCCAATAAAATATAGAAAAAGAAAGTAATTAGAACTGCTTGGAAATTGTTAAATATGTTCAATTTGAAAACTAGACTTTTTTAAAGTAATTATTTTTTAAATTTTACGATTGTAATATGGATAGCACAATATAAGTTTAACAGACTACCTGTAAATCAACTACGTAGTTATCTGCTTTTAAAAAGCAAACAAACATATTCTTTCTATGATATAGTAGCCTAGTTTTATTCAAAATTATTTGGTCTGGTCCAATACACTATATATCTGGAACTGGTCCAATATCTTGTTATTTATGCAGATTGTTTACTTTAAACAGCTATGACAGGTATATGATATAATTTTTCCCTTTGATTTTGACTTTGTAACATTCATTAAATATGACAGCAATTTTCGCATTATTTATTTAATTTGAATTCAATACCATACATTTTTGTTCTAGAAAGTCTGTCTTTAAAAGCAGTTTGTATGTTAAATGAGATACTATAAGAAAGTATATAATTCCATATAGCAGATATAAGTTGTTCGATCTGCCTGTTTTCGACATATTAAGTGCTAACAGGAATATGCAGTCTGTCTGAGCATATTCAGCTCCTGTCCCTTTAATCTAAGAGAGAGATTTCTTTTGTCACATTTGGACATTTATGTATTTACAGATATTATGCCGAAATAGTCTTTGCAAGTCTAAGAAATGAAACGAAAAGCTGCAGAAAAAAACCCAGCATATGCATCGAATAAAGTGAAACTAGCTGATGTTATTCAATAATAAGCTCATCCTTATCATTTACTTAATCAATTAACTCTAAGAGAGTTATTTTCGAATTCCATAGCATTAAGCACTTCAATCCAAAGGAATTAGGATTGATTAGACATATTTACGATTACTTCAGCATTAATTCAAACTTTCGAACCCTCGTTTCTTTCAGTTGCCTCCTCGGAGCTGGAACAGTTCATTAGGAAAGGTGATGTGGTCATATCAACGCGTCACATCAGGTAAGTTTATCTTAAGATCGGTTTAATTCCCTTGGAAATCACTCCCCAAAACCCATCAGACCCCGCCGCAAGCTGCACATTTCGATCGAGGCGTTGTTCATGATCGACTTTCCCATGCTGAAGCACAAGATGTCCTTCTTCCTCGATCGCAAACAGCAGCGTGTGACGCTGGACATCAGTTCGAATGGTGCCACAGAGTCACGCAACTTTGAGATACCGAACATAAATGAGACAAGCACCATACGCTCGTTGGCATTGCATTTTGCGAAAAATCGCATTACTCTCTATGTGGACTGCAAGGCGAGCACCTTCCACGACCTCGATATGAATCTGTCCAAGTTGTACACCCAGATGGATGATCCAGTGATTAAGCTGGTAAGTTGTGGATCCCCCAATTGTGACTGGCGCTGTAAGGTCTTTGTTAACAGTTCCGCGAGCGCAAATATCCCCTGCACTTCGATGCGGACATGGAGCACTCGCTGCAACGGGCCAACTGCCAGAAGGGTTTGCATAGACGTGGCAATCGACGCATGTTGCGCAACAAGATTACGGAGCGAGGTGAGTTATTGGCCGGCTGACTGCCCACCTTCGGTCTAACCAGACCTGACGTCTGCCCAGTGGGCTGTGCAACAATCACCTCGTCTCGTCTCGTCTTCTGTCCATTGCAGAGAAGAACAAGAAACGCGATGTACGCAACTGGTACAATGAGCCAGCGTTGGCGCGCCCTGGTGAGGATCATCGCCAACAGCAGGAGGCACCAACGGATATCGAACGCGGTGATATACCAATCATGCATGGCGATTGTGAAGGTAAGTCGCCTACCCTGTCTGTCTATGGTTGTCACTCGCCTCGACAGACGTGTAATTGCCGGCAGTAGTCGTAAAGCAGTCGTCGGCAGTCCGTTGACTGTCGCCAGGGCGTGGCCCTTTCTTTTCTGACGACTTTTCTGTAGGTTTTCTGCATCTCTCTACGAGCCTTGTTGTGGTGCCACTCTGGCTGGTAGTCTTTCTGGGGCGGTTCCGCTGAGGCTGACAAAGTTGTTTGTTTTCGCCCGTTGGCGTTTATGTCAGTTGACGTGCATAATTCAATTAAACAAATGCGGTGGGATTGATAGACATTGAACTTGGAATAGTGAGAAGGATAACTTATATAGCTGAATGTTGAAAGAGTTGGTCTCAATTATGAATGCCCTTAATTTTAGAAGAGCTTTAAATATTTGCAGCATGAAATCTTAACCCAAGCTCTAATGTTCTAAGCACTAGTGAGTACTGTAGTATCTCGAACTTTTCCGTCAACTTTTAATATTAATTATGAACATTAGAAGAGCTTTAATATATCGAAGCCTGGTACCCATCATCACCCATTACGTTTAGCCAAGCGCTACATTCCTAAATTGCTACTTTTGGTGACCCCTTACTAAATTAGGAACGAGCTTAGCTGATAAGACGATTTAATTTCTTACTTGATGCCTAAATTGCTACTTTTGGTGACCCCCTACTAAATTAGGAACTAGCTTAGCTGATAAGACTATTTAATTTCTTACTTGATTCGACTGGAGGATATTAATTTAGCCGCGCTATTATCCTAACAGGAAATACTCCGCCTACATGCCGTATGTAATCGTATTAAGTAGAACTAAGACCTTCAAATCGTATAAGTTCGCATCTATGCTTCAAGTTCATGCCGCCTCCATACTGGCAATACCATTAGTCGCGATAAAGCTTTATAAATCGTCAACCAATCATTTATTAATACCAACTCACTTCAAGCAATGTGATCGGCCAATAAGTTGCCGCTAAGTGCCGCATTATGCCCGAGTAGCGCCCACAGTAAGACAACGCTAATGAACGCCGAGATATGGCTAAGCCCGTGAATACTATTACTGCACTCGTTTCGTTCGATTCGAGCGTTTCAGCATAATTATTATTTATCTAGCTCGATGCCAAAGCCAAACGCTGATGACGTGTACCAAATTGGTAGCCACATGGAGCAATGGAGCATGGTGCAGGGAGCATGGAACTTGGCGCACTGGCACTGTCGGTACCCACACATAGACTCCGAGTCAAGCAGGCGGCATATAAATCGCGAAAGCAAACGTAATGAATGAATTACGTGGCTGCGACAACAACAAGATAGAAGCGAAGGTTGCCACAGCAGACCACTGTGGAATATTGTAATATGTCTGAGTGGTAAAAATTGTATTCTAAGAAGGATAAGCAAGGAGATGATCTTTCGAAGGCAATATCAAAATATAATGTTAAAATTGGAAGGATTGTAAAACACACGTATATGCTGATACTCCTCAGCATTTTGGTTAAAAAATAATGCAAATTATGAAATAGTTATAAACAAAGAAGATCGGATGTGATGTTCAAACTATTTTATTTCAATAGCAAAGATCTATTTTCGGATAAAAACTTTTCCGCTTGACCAAAAATTGGTAATTTAAATCGTTTTTGATAAAAAAGAGTACTAGTACGTGAAAAGTTCTCCTTTTCAAAAAATAATACAACTTGCTTATAATGTGTATATTTCTAGCACACCCACCCATAGGTTTGATGAATGCTTTTTTAGAAACGGTCACTTAAAATTATTTAAGATTGTTTCCAATCATTTTTACACCAAGCACCGTTTTAAGATTGTTTTCTGTATCGAGATGACTGTAAAGTTATAATAAATGCACTCTGCATGTTTGGGATTTCAACGAAAATGAGATTGAGTTGTTGAGAGTGTTTCTTCGAATGATCGAGAAATTATTTAGGTAGCTCTCGAAAAGCTCACAAAAGTTAGTTGTTGCTGCTTGTATTGGGTGAGGTTAATAATGAACCTTAGAAGAAATAAATGAATGATAAATTAAATTAAAGAAGTAAATTAATGATTTTCTACAAAAGGTATATTTGTTACAAAACACATTTCTATATGGTCTTGATATTAGAGAGATTTTATAGCTTATTTCTTTAAATAATTTTATTGCTTTAAATAAGTTTACTGATTGTTTCACTTTTCCTTTTAAAAAGGGTATTTTGTTTTAAATAATTATGCCTAAAAATGGTGTTTTCTTTGTAGAATTTGAATTTTTCTTTCTTTAAATACTTTTGCTGCTAATTATGGCGAAATGAAATCATTTTATTGATTCAATTTGAGACGTTCTTTTGTTTCTGAGTGTGGACAATTCATTGCTTAATTTAATTTATTAATTCTATCTGAATGCGGTTGATTGTGAAATCTAGAGCCCACTCGATTCTTTGGAAGAAAAGAGAGTAAAAAGTTGACTGCATTTACAAAATAGAGCGATAAGTAGACAAATGGGTCCACTGTGCAGTGCCAAATCGAGTAAAACGGATGCGTTTGGGCGTTGAGTTGAAGTTAAATGCGCGGCACGGCTTTTCCAATGTTGACAAAACTCACTCAGGCAGCGACAGATAGATAGATAGACTGGGAGATTGAGGGACTGGGAGACGACTGTGAGGAGGAATAAGAGGAGGAGTAGGCATAGACAGAGTCACAAAGGTGCAGATGACAGAAAGACAGTTGGACTAGTTTAGTTGTTGGCATGTGTCTTACATGGCGTACAACACATATGGTTGGCTGGTGGTTGGTGGTTGGTGGGATCGGGTGCTGGTTCCTCTGGTGCTCGACTACGAGCTGAACAATGTTGTCGCATTGCATTAAGCTGCGCTAAAACGCTGCGCATTAGCAGCTGGATATTGGAGGCAGCAGTCTAGCGGATTGGACCGGACCGACAAAGCGGATTAGGTTGCAATCAGCATCAGGCAAAGTCGGCTTTGGCACACACACACACACATACACGCACGCACACACATCAGTGAGTCTTTTGAAATGAGTGCGATTTTTGCATTGGTTAGGCCTTAATCTTGTCAGCCGCTTGAACGCTTCCCACACACCAATGATATATTGTTGCTTTTTCCTTTATTTTTTATGTTTTATTTTTATTTAACCTCTTTTCGCCTCATTTCTGCTTTCATACTCATTGTTCGTACGTTCAGACGCCCTCGCGAAATCTTTGAGCGATTTAATGGCTTTGGTTAAGCTGCTCCGTGAAGACATCGCCCACCAGCGCCAGGAGATCTCTTACCTGCGTATGCTGCTGGAGAACTGTGCGGGCTGCAAGGAGCCAACTGGGGACAATAATATACGCCTCGAGTCCAATTGTCGCACCGCGAATCCTTGTTATCCTGGTAAGTTGTTGTCATCTGTATGGTTGAGTCATCGAACTCACACCCTTTTTCCAAAACAACGCTCTCCAATGTTGTGCGCTCTTTGCTGCCCACAGGCGTTGACTGCCACGATACTGCCTCGGGACCAAGGTGCGGCCGTTGTCCTGCTAATTTCATTGGCGATGGCAAAATCTGCAAACCGGGCGTCACCTGCGCAGACAGGCCATGTTTTCTGTAAGTATCACTTATGCTACACTTTAAGAAAATTGTTAACTCCATATACATTGCGCTATAGGCAACATTTAAAATAGTGTAATCGATCCTTTTAAGTCGAATTTGGTTCTTCAGTTCTGGTTGCATCGCTTTTAAAATTTGCATGGCATGAATCGAAAAATATCCATTCAGTTTGGATTAACTAAATAATGAATACTATGTAGATACTCTGTACGAAAGCGCAGAGGGTGACCGCATTATTCCTCCAATTGGTATGAGGATCTCAGAGGCAGCTGTCATTAAATTTGTGTGCCTTGAATATTTTGTTAAAATATAAATTGTTAGAAGTATTATCCCTTCGGTACTTTCGATGAGAATAGCAGAGGAAGGCCACCAAATATTTGCATGCCATTTATCGAAGCTTAATTTATATAAATTTAATCCCGAAATTGCCATCGCTTAGGTACTGCAAATGAGAATCGCGGAGGAGGGCGGCCAAAATAATTGACATGAAACAGAAAATACCCATTAAGCTATAAAGACAAAAAATTCTTAAAAATATATTAATTACGCCTGTCTATTATTTATTTTATATTTTTAAATTTATTTCGTTCATTTAATTGATTTCAATTATGTATTTTTATTACATAAAAAAATACAATATTATTTATATTATCATTTCATTCTTTCTTTATTTGTTCATATATTAAATTGAAGCCAAAATTATTATTTTTTAAAAAACCCGATAAACTTGGCACAGTCCATTTTTGCTTATCAAAAATTGTGACATATTGCTTGAAACGTTAAAAAGGCAGCAGTTTGTTAAAACTGTTGACCAAACTATAATCTGTAAGCCTCTGGGATTATTTACATTGCTATTTACTATTAAATTGTGTTTTATTTATTATTAAAACAAATGATTCTGTTTTAGAACAAATATATATAAATGTATCCCCTCTTTTGGCAAGTGTATGTGTATGCCTGTGAGATGAAAATTAACGTAAGTTTTTATTGTAGTATTTGTTGTTGTTCCTGTCCATTGCTTAATGGCGTTAAGGGCGTGGTGACCAGCGCCATTGCATCCATGTTAATTGTATTTGTCATGCTGTTGTCGACTTCTTGAAAGGCACCGACCACGACATCCACACACGCAAAATGTCGTTCAGGCTTAAGCTCAGGCTCAGGCTCAGGCTCAGAGGCTCTTTCTCTGACTCTGCAATTATTTGCATATGGTCTTAATGGCAATTTGATGTTGTTTATAGGCTGTACAGTCATAAGTTGGTCTGATAGCTTGGGAAAGCGCAATTTGGTCGACACTAGTATGCATGTACATATGATTGATAAGCTTTGAGGACGAGAGCAAGTCTCTAGCCATTGCTACAGGTTGGCATTTCCGCAAGTGCGGAAATTGTGAATTTTGTTGTTCACATACTGTACTTTAAATATGTAGCATTCGGAATTGCGGAAAATTCAACATGTTTTTAAAAACGAAAAAAGTTGGAGAGATGTTTTAAATTTTATAATAACGATTTGGTAAACTCTGCTTTGTTTACATTTAATATCCAAGGTGTTTGGCTTTCAGTGATTGGTTTCGGAATTGTATTTTTAAGCTGTAATTTTTAGCATTATCATCGTTTTCAAAAATGTACGAATAATATTGAGGATTTCCGTAGATATGTGGAATTTCTTATTGTTGATTAGTAAAAGCCCACTTTTCGGGTTTCATTTTTTGAGTTCATTGTCCACCACAAGAACAGCAACTTTTAAAAATATTTGTGATTACAGCTTTTTTTTTCAAATTTGATTAAAACTTAAAACATTACCTCGTTCAACCTGAATGAAAATAAGACTAAACTCTTAGTTTAAGCTGTATTCGTATTTTTCTATAAGTCTAATTTAATTTGCTGTTAATAATAACAGTATAATTAAAGTTTTACATTTATAAAAAAAAACCCGAATGAATAGGCTTGCAAATATAGATCCTATTCAACTCGTGGTACCAAAAAAAAAAAGAGCGCGATGAGCCCTCCCTTTTCAGCTTTGACTGAATAGAGTAGATTGATCGCCTTTTACGAAAGTATTGTGGGAGAATTAAAATTCCAATACCCGCTAACCCCACAAGAGTGAAAAAAATATAGAACGTTCGATACTATCGTTGCTACCATCTATAGTATGACAGCTCCTTTCATTCTGCCTGTGTGGGATTGTAATCTAGCAATGATCAGATGGCGATGGAGAATAGATTCCATGTACTACATTGACTTTACAATTATAAGTATAATATTGAAAGTTCTCTCGTCTTTAGTATTGTGTACAATCTAAAGGTAGTTACATTTTATAAGAATGTTAATTCTATCTAACACCTTTAGATATTATAAAGAGCGTGTTAGGCCTAGCTCAAGCCCTTTATCACAAGCAAGAACACAACATGAAAGAGCAACTACCGCTTCGGTTATGAGCCAGGGACCCCCATAAAGTGTCAAGGGAATAAATGTAAACAACTAACCTATCCCAAGCAACAATCGATAGGCATAACAAAGGATCAACAGGTGTGCGCGTCATTAGTGCACATTTTATGGCTTTTTAATAGAATGAGTTCGGGACCATTTCAAAACCACTCTCTGCTCACTCCAAATCACCATTCAAACAAAGCGCTTGTGAGTTGAGATCTCTTGTAAGTCCAGACGCCGCGCCATGTCTTTCACATTCTTAAGCGACATTTCGTGGGTTCTAAATTAAACTGATTGTCAAACAAGAACCATATAGTATACTACATATAGTATATAGTGGGGGTTACCACACGCATTGGCCACATTTCATCGATAATGAAAGATGACAGTAACGACGAGGCAGTGCTCGACCCTTGCCGCTGACAACAACATTTAAAACAATTTTATGCAAATTAAAAAAATACTACATTCAACTGGCTGGATGGCGCACCTTGGCCTGATGATGGCCCATCAGCCAACACCTACAACTACACACACTTATAATGTTTGGGGCATGGCTCGGACCATTTACATTTACATTGTCTGTCGCGTTGTCTGTCTTTCAAATAATTTAAACAAATTTATGGGCAGTTGGCCACTAGCGAGGCGCTTGCCGGCTCACTTGTCGAGTGGTCTCACATTTCATTTCGTTTTGTCGACTCGAACTCTAACTCCATCTCCATTTCCAACTCCAACTCGAACTCCCGCTCCGAAATCACTTTTGAGTGTTTTGACACAATGAAGTCAGTCAGTGTTCCGAAGAGTTTTGTGCGGGTTCCTCCACAAATTTGTCTAATTTATGCGGCAGCCTCAAGTGCCATTTGTGGTTCATGGTCCCTGGCCCATGGACCTTACATCTTAGCGGTTTTTTTTTTCCTCCTACCTCCGCATTGTTGTATTATTGCAAAGGTTTTGTTTGATGATTTTGTTGCATTTTGTTCAATATTCCTGCGACCGTTACACCGACTGCCTGCGTCTTGTTGTAGTTTTGTTGAACATATTTATGGCATTGTTTGTGGTGTGGGATTTATGTATTTATTAGGCTATGGCTTTGCTGTGGGTCTACGACCCTCTGGATCTTTGCAGTGCCCGCCTCATATGCATAATTAGTTGATAGAGTTTGACATCAATTGGTCCGGGGGACCCAAACGGTGATATCAAGAACTTTGTTTGTTTGGTTCCGCCCGTGGCGTTCTCTTCCGGTCTGGCACAGCTAAATAATGGCCGAACAACACTTGATATCGTTTGCAGAGGTGGCTGTGTGGTTTTTACGACCGAACCACACACTCATGTGTCAATAAGCAATTTAAGCGCGTACAGAGAATGCTTTCTTTTATTAGAATTGATTGGAATCAAATATAAGGGCCAAACTTTATTTGTTCCCTATTCTTAAAAGCAGATCAGAGGTCGATTATGGATTCGAAATTATTAATAAAATTTTAAATTTGTAGCTAGTTACTATAACAATAGGTATAGTACGCTTCTAGCATTGCAATCGATTAACTCCAAACTATATTTTACAAAGAGTTCTATTAAAATACACGCTGTCTTTGAAGTAAGATTTAAAGTTCTCCAAGTCTATAACTCAACAAAATACACAAGTTAACTTACCATTCTTCAAAGAGAATTTCTATGAGCGACTTTTCTTTATATAAATGTTAAGAAAAAATATGTTTTAAAAATGTTCTCAAATAAGAAGATTTAATTCTAATTAAGCGGCATTTAACTTTTCAAAATTTAAATAAATTCTTTGAAGAATTTACTCTAATTTGCTTTAGAAAAGTGTGTTTTAGTCGGTTGTATTTTCTTTTGTTTATAAATAAAGCAAATTATGTTGTAGAAACAAACATTTAACTCAATTCATCAGTAGCTAAATAAATAAAATATTTCTAACATTTTCGCAGAGTAAGCAAAGGCAGAATTTTTTGAAACACAATTGGCGTTTTTCCATTTAATATAAGTATAAGTATGGCCTTTTAACCTTTGGGCAGAAGATTGTTCACTAATTGGACAATTAGACATACTCTAAGTATTCCATCATTATCTGAAAATGTATTCAATACTAATATTTTATTAATTGTTTGAATTTCTTATGAAGCCTAGACTAATTGTCAAATTTCCTCTTTCTTTTCGGTTAATAAGATAATTCTGTAAACGTTTTAGAAGAAATGCTCCATTTCTGCAAATGATTATTAAACACTTTTCAACGGCCTAAAGGATTGGTATTGATTTTTTAAGGCAAAAACAGCTTTGAAGCGTATAGTCGTTATTTAGGCCACAATTTTGAAGCCCATAGTCGCCATTTAGGCCACAACTACACCTAGTCTATCGGGCTATTTGAATTAGCCAACTCCAGACAATGCTTAACATAAACAGACAAGCATAATGCAATTGAAAAAGGCTTACACTTGGATATCATAGAACATATCAAGCAATTGTATTCTTTGTCCAATTTACAAGAGCTGTTAACAAGTTGTTAACTGTAAGCACTTTCCATTTCTCAAGCTAATAGATCATCTCACTCACTCCATT